CCCTAGTGCACTGTGGCTTTGCTAAACTTGCTTTAGCGTTCTACACACCTATCTGAGCTTACCTGTACTATAACTTAGGGTAGAGTCTTTTGAAAATAGAGCTATTTTACTATTTAATCATGTGTGTCTATATTAGAAGATTGTAAACATTAATAAAAGTAAAATAACACCAATCAAAGTCCAAATCAATGCCACCAGTGTATTTTAATGAATATTCACCTCCTATCACAGAAATGCTCTGTAACCCTGTACTTTAAATTGAGAAATAAATGTTCTAATTCTTTTCCTCACTCCTGAAACACCAACTATTAATCTTCCTCACCAGAGACAGCTTGCTTTAGAAACTAGAAGCTAAGATAAAAAAGTATTTATTAAAAGTAATGAGTAATCATACATATATTTATATGTTCAGCAATATGTCTAAATATATCTTCCTTAAAATAGCACTGCACATAAAAAAGGCAAATTGGAAAGGAATACTGGTTGATTGTTATGAAACTATGGAACACACATGTCTCCAGCCTTAAGAAAAGGAAGTGTTTATAAAGTTTAAACACATACCTGAAATATTAAACATACTTTTCTTACACACAGTCATACTTTTGTACAGGGAAACTAGGAATCAACTTTTCTAGGAGACAATAAAATAGGAGTGTTGCCCACCTGAGTCAAATGTAAGAAAAAGAACCATTTTGCATACTATATTCAAGTTCTTGTTTTTTTTTTTTTGTTTGTTTGTTTGTTTTGAAGACATGGGTACTCCATGTAACCCAGGCTGGACTTGAACTCCGGATCTTACTTCTGCCTCCCACCCTTTAAAAAATGTTTATGGTCTCATTTAGGACAGTAAAGAGAAGAGCAGTCATATGTCTAGAGATAGAAAAAGGTATAAAAATGAAAGCAACATCTTAACACTAACAAAGCAAAGAATTAAAAGTGTGAGAAGTGTATCAATAATCCTGCAACCAGCTTAAATTTTCAGGCCACAAACAATAGGATACAGGGAATATGAATTGTTTGAATCCCACTGACAATCTTTGTGGGAAACTTGTAACAGTGTGAGAAGTGTATCAATAATCCTGCAACCAGCTTAAATTTTCAGGCCACAAACAACAGGATGCAGGGAATATGAATTGTTTGAATCCCACTGACAATCTTTGTGGGAAACTTGTAACAGAAAACCAGTTTTCTTTCTTCTTGTGGAGCTCCAGCAAGATGTGTGAAGGTGAGGAGGGGAAACAATGACAAGGGTGAGCTCCCTAAGTCACCATTACAGAGAGAACACTGTCACAGCACTGTTCCATCACAAACAACACTGCTGACCACACCTGACAGCAGGTGTCTCACTTTACAAGCAATGCTTATCAGCTCACCTCCTACACTTGCCTTATTGGGAACTGTTTCATGCACCTGGGCAGGTGTCATGTTTATCTTACACCAAACTTCTGTTAAGTCTCCATGGAGAGTAAGACAACTAAGTTAGATACGATTTGGTAGTGGCTTGATGAAGCACAGCCAAGTGGATTATGCAAGCAGTCTAAACAAAAGCAATCCAACAACTGAACCAAGCTAAGAACACAGATTGCCTAATTTTTAGTCCAAAGTTGACTTGCTGGGCATTAATTCCGAAAGGGCAAGTGCAGCTACATAGACTCTCTCTTGTCTAGAACTGCAGATGAGTCGAATGGGGAACAACACAGAAACAGAATGATATGCACTACTGACTATCTGGTCTATGTCTAAAAGTATAACATGAAATGGCAAAAATTTAAGAATATGAAAAAGAAACAAGGTGAGACTGCAGTTCTTGGTGATCACTATTCCCAGAGTTCAAGGTCAGTGTCCACATACAGGAATGGTGAGTAGGGTATCCATTTCTAACTGTGTTAAGGTGCAAGTACTAGTATCTGTTAGACAATGCATGAATATTTTATATATGTGTATATATACATATATATGTATAAAATACAGATGCTGCTGAGAATAAGATAATAGCAGAGTCTGCAAAGAAACACAAAGAAAACATAACTGACAGATAAATGCATGCCATATTTATAGCTGTATATACTCAAACTAATATACATATACATATATATTTTCCTCAATAGATGATTAGGAAGGGCAGGACTATAATAACAAAACAAACCTTAACCACTATACTTCACTTTATTTTATTCAAAGTATGAATAAGCACCTTAACTGGATATTCATTTAAACAGAATCCTAGAGTGTTAGGACTGACCAACAAATATCTTATAAAGAAGCCCCGAATTCCTTGGGGAAAATGATAAAAGGGACATTGGAACTAAGTGATGGTTGGGGCCATCAAGACCCCAAGATTATGACTTTCAAAAGGAACAGCAAAGACTGCCCTGGCTTGCAGAGGGAGGACAGGGCAAGTCCACAGGAGGCTTTCCAGAGAACGGGCAAGTAATGCTTCAGTGTGAGCACCTAGTCTTAGGAGACTGACCTGGGGAGAGATGTTTCCAGCTTGACACTAGGTGGTGCCCTCTGGCCTAGACAGTAAGTTTCCTATATTTTGGAAAGGAGGGAAAAAAAGATAACAGAGCAGTGGAAGAAAGGAGCGCTGGAGGTGAACAGAGAAAGAATGCCTAGATTTCTACTCTAGTGGAGATGCCGTCGCCAAATGAAGCGCCAGTCACAGGTGGGCAGGCATCAGCAACAGTGAGGGCTGTTGAATCTGAGAACGCAGACACCCGGGGACAGAAGGGGGTGGTTCACACAGACCCCACACAGGAAAACCACAGCCTGGTATCTCTAACTGAAATGTTCTGGGATGCTTGCCTAGATCCCTAATGTCACCTACCAAAACAGGAGGACCCACTATCTCCTCCCTCATACAAGACTGATGGGACTGAGGGAGAAGAAGGGCCATCCCAATAGCTAAGGCTGTGTGTCTCCCTAGGAAGGACTTTCTGCCACTAGAGAAAACTCCAGTTTTTAACCCATTAAGCATACACTCTGCTCAGCGTACCACCTTGGTGAAGAACAAACATGTGCTATGTTGTTAAGCTTATGTAAGTCCAAGTATCCAGCTCCATCCCAGAAAAGTCCACTTCTTCAGAGGTTCAAGGTCTGTGTTCACCAACGGCTCTTCACAGCTTCATTTTTTTTTCTTCATGCAAACAATGTAAGGTTTCAATAGTAACGGCTTTCTCGGAGCTCAAAACTATTTCAAAGAAACTGTCCTGAAACCTGGTCACATTTGCTTGCAGTACTCAAGCAGTCTTAGTAAACAAGCAGCTGAGAGATGGAAGACTCTGTCTTACTTAGGTCCTGCCAATTCAGAAAGCAAATACTCTTGCAGGCCAGTGTTTAACTGACAATTAAACCAAATAAAGAATGCTGGAAAAATTTTAAGTGGCTAATCGAAAAAGACCAAACAAGGCACAGCCTGCGGTCGAGTTTTCAAAGACATGGAGACCCATGCAAAACTCTACATCCAATTCTGAGAAGCAGCAACTCTATCAGGATCTATCCACCAATCTTTGGTATTCCTATAATTTCAACACCCACAGTGAATGGTAACTTGAATGTGTGTTTATATAAACTGCAAGACCTAGAGGCTAACCCAGCCTTTATTCCACCGTATTGGCTTGGAATCAGTTGGAAGAAATGCCATCAAGTTGCTGTCCAAGATCTTGGACTTACTATGTAAGAATTAAAATGTAATCACTCATATACCCAATGAAATAGACACATCAAAGTCTTCCTTTTTCTTCCAGGCTTACTATGAAGCTTCAGTATGAACACCAAAGCTATTGAAAATTCTTTTAAAATAATAAGACCCGAGAACACACAGGATTCCTAATACTTTAACAGTACGCTCTAAAGTGTTTAGGACGGTGGGACTCAAAAGTGGTACTTATTTTCTTGTGTGGCAAAACTATTTCTTCTGGCTTAAGTTTCAGTTTTAGGAAAAGTCCACATGTAACATTTTAAGGGGTGCCGCGCATCTCTGAGTCAGAAAACTACTGAACTTCACGGTCACGGCCACACTGTCAGCTGAGCCTATGAAAAAATGTACTCGGAGGGCAAGTTAACAGGTTTCCGAGGCTCAACTTCGCACAAAACACAGGGGGAGAAAAAGTCACCTTGTCATGGACATCATCTAGAAAGCCCCGCGCTTCCCATTTTTTGACCTCTTTCGGGGGTGGGAGACGCCTGTCACTGTTGAGACCGGCCGGGAGCCGTCGGTGACCGGGGACCGTGGAGCTGCAGGGCGCACCTGGCTCCCGGGATGGCCGCGGGAGCGTCGGGCCGCGCGCACCAGCCGCCGGGGGAGCTGTCACCGGCCGCGGGGACTTGGGAGC